TTTTTTAAAGTAGGGTAAATGTTGGCTTCGGCACCCATTGACTGTTTTCGGCAACCTAAATTTAAACGTTAATTTCACTATGTTTTCCCATCAACGCACTTCCCTGAATATGTCCAAACGATTGTTTAGCCTTTCAGCTTCAATCTGATTATATTTGAACGATCGAGCAATCCAGTAATGCTACATTTTTCTTCAAATAAAGCATACGCACTACAAAGTGGGGTTGATTTCGAGTTGCCGATAATAGAACAGCTGGTTAACACGCAGTTCTAATGGGAAGGTTGCCGAAGAAAAAGAGGCTGCCGACAATAGTCACACTCACCTGAGAAGTTTGGAGCGTTGTAAAAACGCTTTCAAAACGTTTTGGAAAAATTCTGTCGATTGGAATGGATAGAGAAGCAAGCAGCAGATGAATGTAAACAAACAGACACATCATATATGTGCGTGACGCTGAGAAAATGCTAGTAGAAGTGCAGACGCTGCTTAGATTGACGAGAATACGTAAATTCCCCTTTATTATTAATAATTTTTACAGTAATGAATGTTTTTCAAAGTTTATATTATTAAAACAAGTAATGAGGATCCAAAAGTCAATTCATTAGTAATATGTTTAACGGAAATAAAAGCATTTGCACTATTTTTTTTAGTTTTGTGACCGATCTTCAGTTTTTTTTTATTTGGGGTAACTTTGATAATGCTCGATGAATGTAGAAAAAAAAATGGTTGAAACTCAAACAATTTAGTTCTTTAAATATGAAACTTTGAATGAGTATATAATCAGAAAACATCATATGTAATAAGAATACAACATTGAATTTGCGATGGCTATATCGGAAATACATTTCATAAATGATGGTTTGAGTGCTTTTTCAAACAGGCGAAAAACACGAAAATTGTTTTTTAATATTTTTGTATAATATATAACACATACCATATACAAACTATATACGATATCAACGGAACTACCCTAAACTACAATATGGAAAAAATGTTTCTAATCTGGAAAAAGCGCAGCGAGTAAATTTAATCTTTACCAGTGTTGGAAAAATATCAAAAAATCAAATCTCACCAACGCCCAAGATCACGCTTGATTTTCGTGGACAAAAATCAACAAGCAAACAACTGCGGTTGATTTTGCAAGCTGTGATATCGCAGCTCGGAATATCAAGCTAACAAAACTCACCAGCTACAAATCTCAGCAAACTGTGGTGAGATTGAGTTTCATAATTTTTGCTTTACACCCGAATGCAACCGAAACTTCCATAACGGCTGGCAGCAGTCGCTTCGTGTCTGCCATCGGTGAAGAGTAAAAAGAGACAGCATACTATACTTTCTCTTTCTAAGTAAACGATGTGCAACGGAATCATTTTTGTGTCGAGTCAACTCTCAGCTTGATTTTTGCACGTTGTGAATAGTCTCGCAATATCAAAGGAGCTTGTAAAATCAATATCAAGCATGATATTTTGTTCCAATATCACGCGTGATATTGCGTGCACATGAGAGCGGAAAAAATCTATTGATTTCTGATATTGCCAACACTGATCTTTACATTATACTATCAAAGTTACCCGCATTATCAAAGATACCCCGTTTTACGGTACGATGAAATCAGATAGATTAGCAGGTTTATAGAGTTTGCGTCCAAAAATGACGTTTTTTTTTTTAATTATAACTTTTGAACCACTGGGCCGATTGAATAATCAGAATGTCAAAAAAAAGGGATTTAAAAAAAAATTCAGAAAAAAAACATAAAAAGTTTTCAAAGTTGTAGTTTGTACAGAAGAACAAATAAGCATCGCAACTGCTAAAGCATATACTCTACTTGGTTTTATTCGTCGTCTTGCTTCTTGTTTTCTCCGATGTTCGTAAGACGCTATTCTGCTCGCTGGTTCGCAGCATTTTAGAATATACTTCCCCGCTTTTGGTTTCCATTTTACTATATGCATATCTTTGCGATTGAACGGATTCAGAAAAGCTTTATAAGGTTTGCCTTGCGCCAGCCCCTCTGAAATGCTCCTAGACAATCTTCCTAGTTATCCCGAACGATGCAAGCTGATTGATTTGGAATCTCTCTCTGCCAGGCGCCTCAAATTGCAACGAATGTTTATCTTCGACTTCATAACAGACAACGTGGACTGTCCTGTATTTCTGGAACTTATTGCGTGGAATACTCTTCCTCGCCGATTCATTGATTCCCCGTTACTGGAAAATATATTTCACAGAATGAACTTTGGATTCATTAATTGTTTTAACCCGGCTTCAAGATCAAGCTGTGTAGTGATTATTGGATAATCGGGAAATGGTTGAATTAAGGGCCTTTCAAGTTCACACACAACTAAACAGCAGAATAACGGCTGTATAGAAGCGTAAATCAATATGCAATAAGAGCTTGCCACTACCATCTCAATAGCCATAAGTAGCTGACTAAGTTTGCCAGATTTGCTTGTATAGAGGTTGAGTAAAGGTTACCTCATATCGTATAGCATTTGAATACAACTTGAGGCTGTATAAATGAAATGAGCAAAGCGTTTACATTGTGAAAATTGTTAGTTGGGATATTCTTCAATTGTGCCGAAAACAATAATCTCTTCTGATGTTGAGACTCAGTCAAGACTAGTTTGTCATATCATGTTGATATGTCTGCGGTATTCGTGTTCTTACATAATCTGTTTTGTTGATACTACCTATTAATTCACAAATGTACCCGAAAACCAGGTAAATATATTCTTCCTCGCAGCTATAAGAAGTATATTTACCTAGGTGAACATGCTATTGCTTTCAACTGGGTGGTGGTGAAAATGTAGGTGGAAAGAATTCCACATGTGTAATGCTTCGTGTCAGTTGTTAAGCAACGGGCAGGCTTTTCACTGGTGAAAGCTCGTGTATATATTCGAGTGACACAACCAGCAGAAATGATTGAGTTTTGTTATTACTAGTAACCCATTACTGTTGTTGCGTAATGCAGATTACCAGCACTTGGTTACTCTTTTCACAAAACACTTACTGAAAATATCTATGTAATGCTGTGATCTGTATCAGTGCTGAAATTTGTCATTGTGATTGACAGACTTTCGTGCGAAATTGATAGAATTGTTTTTTACATAGTCACTGATAGACTTGATCCTCCAACCTTTGTCAATATCTCATTCATTTTTAGTTAATGAGAAAGATTCACCTGGTAACAAAAAGTGTAATTTCATGTATACTGAGTCACATTATTACTATCCAAGCAGTTCTCAGGACGTAGATGCTTGTTCACTTTAACTCCATGCTCCATGTAATTGTTTTGCTCAAGTAATTTAATTTTCTTTCAAATTTAGTTAATTAAAAATCAGCACAAGTTCGTCACTGACAGCATTGTCACTGACAATTAACATGGTTTGCATTGACGTTGACGGTTAGCTCAAATAAGTGACCAAAGCATAATTTTGAATAACGCCGTGTATTTTCGAGATTTTGCAGCACTGGTCTGTATACTTTCATTCAATTTCCATTGTTTTTATATTACAGTCCTCAGATGATTTTTGGCATTTCAGTTGTCCACATATTTCTGGATCAACAATAGAAAAGGGCCCATCAGCATTTGTAAACAAACCGTTCCAAAGCCCATTCCTCACAAATTGAAGCCCCCCCCCCCCCCCCCCACGCTAACCAACACCATCATCGTGTAGATAGAAGTTTCCCCTATCCGATGATGGTTTTGGTTTGCGTAGGTGGCCTTCGCTTTGTGAGTAAAGGGCTTTGGAACGGTTTGTTTACAAATGCTGATGGGCCCTTTTCTATTGTTGATCCAGATTTGAATAATTAGGATACTGATTATTTGGCGATGTTTAAAGCTTCATTTCAGACCATCTAAGAAAAATATTAAACAGATTCAGATTCTGATCTAATGTGGGTGGCCCTTAAGACTTGTTAAAATGAATTGGTTATTGCAGATTAAATCGTATAGGGTTAATGTCCTAAATGTCGGCCTAATCGTTCCTAATATAAACTTGGCAGAAAAGCATTTCATGACAATTTTTCAGCAGCAGCCAAAAAATATTCATTTGTATTGTCCAGATCATTGCTAAGTTTTGTCATTGTTGGCAGCTTTTACTGATTTCACGCGACAACATTATCTTTGCGACTGTAGACTCTCACAAAAACCTTCGTCAAAATCGTATTATTTTTTTGTCAATGTCAAAGATTTGCCTAGTAATAAAAAGTGTAATTTTGTTAATTCTTAATCACGTCATAGTTATCCATGTAGTTGAGGCCATTCGCGGAGACGAGCCAGCCACCGGCTAAAAGTCTCCTTAATAAAGATATAAAAAAAAAAATAGTTGAGGCCATAGATGCTTGTTTATGGCTCCAGAACACTAATTGCACATGTTCGTTTCTGACAAACGACATGGTATTCTTGAAAAATCTTTTTCGTTTCGTAATAGCGACGAATGCTGTCGTGTAAGGTCTATATTTTGCAGCATTGGTCCAAATGTCGCATTGTTCCAAGAAAAATAGAAAAACAGGATAGTTTTAACGATATGCCCAATCTTTAGCTCCATGGAAGAATCCAAAGAATCATGTCCTTTAAGAAGATTATTCTAAAACACGCTCGCATAGTAAGATGATCCAACGCGCTTGAGTAATTTTAAAGCTTGTAAAGTGTCACTAAATAAATCGTGGCCCATTTAATCTCAATTTGAGCGAAGCTTAGCTATATCGAAGGAAACATTTATCTAAATTAATCCAACTGTAATGATTATCAAGGTGACATTTTTACCATGATTGCGAAACATGTCAACTATTCTGGAGCTAGAAATATTTCCCTTTTGTCATCACACAAAATGATCAAAAAAATCCATGAGAAAGAACCACGCATCCACTGTCGGTAGCACCTATCCGAGAGCATACTTCTTAATCAAGCATTTTTCCGCACTCGATCCACCATTCCAGTAAACGTTTCACTGGGGTTATAGTGCAAATGATGCTAGGCAGTGTTTGCCGTCTCTCGTCATCAGCAAGTACCCGCCACCGGAGCAACCTTGACACGATGTGTTTACCGTAAAAGCGGAGTAGTACGGTCGTAAGTGAAAATTATGATGTAGAGAGAACAGCCAAACAAAAACAAATACTACAAGAACTGTGAGAGTAACCTCCCGCTAGTGTAAATAGGAAACCGAGAAATGAAACGGCAACCAAAGTGCGAAATACCTCCAGCCATTACAAGACAATTGCTCGGCAAGTTCACGAACCGTACCGTTGGGAAAATGTAAGCCGTGTGAAAAGTGCAATAGCCTCTCGTGAAACGCGCAGAGTGAACAGATTCGCCGGAACGTGTGGAAGAATCCTGCCAGGATTTGAAATATGGCCGAAAAATGGCGAACGGCCATTATGAAAATCCGGAAAGGGTAAGATGCTTTGATGAATATGATCGATCAATATTTTCTGTTTCCCATGTAGCTAGACATACACACAAGACGAAGGAGAGACGGATTGCATCATTGCGTGATGAAATCTTTATTATTCATATCTTCAAGGTTGGATCCTCTATTCATTCATGCAGCACCACTCTCGCAGATGAGATTCAATGCCACTAGGGGAATCGGAAATATCAATTTAATAATAATAAAAAGACGTGACAAATCGTGGATTCTTTTGCTGTTTCCCTGCTTCTTTCTGAAGATATTTTTTTTATATTAATGAAACTGAATAATTGGATTATTTGATGCATCATGTCATTGTGATTGTTTATCCTTGTTTTGATTTGTAGATGGACTTTGGCGTTGGTGACGAAAAATACCCTTAGATTTTAATAATGATTACGATGATGATAATTGTTCTATCCCTGTACTAAGGGGCGTTAATCGTTTCACTCCCGAGAGGTGATATCGAGTAAGACTGTACTTTTTCAACTCTACTTTTATTACGCGTATCTTAATCAACTCTCGGAGCTCATTCCCCGTGTGGTGGCTACGTGACCCTTTTTGCTGTCTCAGCGTAAGTCGAACGCTAACGCCTACAGTCAGTTACAAGAGTGACGAAAGGTATTCAATCAATTATATAATAATATTTGCTACTATACGTTTGCTGCACTGCAGCACACATGAAGTAGCAATTTCAGGTGAAATGGGGTACCGATTTCCGAGATTTGTGTAATTGAAAATTCGAAGTGGAAGTGCATGTATAGCCATTTGTGGACTCTTCAAGGAATCACCTTAAATGCCAAAAATATTTTTTTCTGCCCACTCTGCCCATGTACAAATGGAAGTCAGATTTCAAACTCAAATCTCGCGCAATACGAGAATAGGGCCTATCATTGTTGATCGATGCTCTTCATCGATTTTCTCTTTGCATTGCTACAGCTAAGCGAAACAATTTTCTAGAATTTGTTCAATGCAGAGTTTTAACAGGTTGTATTGGCTATCAATAGCAATAGCAAACGCACCGAGAAACGTTAAATCTAGGGAGTTTGTAACCAGTGGTGTGTCTGTCTGTCTGAGGTTAGTGAGATTGGCGCTATTAGTGTTTCGTATTTTATGTATAACAATATGCCAAGGAAAGGTTTGAATACAAGCAACCAACACCACCCATCGCCCACAAAATCACCCACTGGACAGTACACAGCCACACCACTAAACGACAGGAAGATCCTCTACCTACCACTAGATGGCACTGTTTACAGGATTTGGAGGCATAATGGGCATAATGGGGCCATGATGAGGCGAAATAGAGCGGAAAGACGATGGCTCATCGAGGAGGAGTGAGAATAGGTCAGCCGCCATCGTTGAGAATCATTTTGATTGGCGATACTCAACAGCGATACTTCGTAAAGCAAGTTCAAGCAAGTTCGAAAGTGAGTGAGAACCGTGAGGACGTGGAAAAAGTGAAGAAGGAGAGTGAGGTCGAGAATTAGGTGCAGAACCACCCAGGACCCCGTAATTTACCGCTGGAAATTCATCCACGGCGTGGTCAGACCCCGTAGTGTCCGTTATTCGGCATACGGCGCGGTTGGACACTAAGCATCTTCTGATACGGAGGTGTCCGGGAATACAAACCAACGGCCCATCGACCGTTGGACGCCACGAGTATAGCGAGGAGAGAGAGGAGAGAGAGAGAGAGAGAGAGAGAGAGAGAGAGAGAGAGAGAGAGAGAGAGAGAGAGAGAGAGAGAGAGAGAGAGAGAGAGAGAGAGAGAGAGAGAGAGAGAGAGAGAGAGAGAGAGAGAGAGAGAGAGAGAGAGAGAGAGAGAGAGAGAGAGAGAGAGAGAGAGAGAGAGAGAGAGAGAGAGAGAGAGAGAGAGAGAGAGAGAGAGAGAGAGAGAGAGAGAGAGAGAGAGAGAGAGAGAGAGAGAGAGAGAGAGAGAGAGAGAGAGAGAGAGAGAGAGAGAGAGAGAGAGAGAGAGAGAGAGAGAGAGAGAGAGAGAGAGAGAGAGCCGTCGCGGTAGGAAAAGAACCGACTGGACTGTGAAAAGTGCCCAGAAGGAAGCTGAGGAAGGTGAAAAAATGGCTGTGGAAGGACCAACAGAGAGCCCGCGCTGAAAAACAAGAAGAAACGTTAGGCGAAACGAGGTAGGAGATAGCCAATAAGAAAGTGGGACGAAAGTAGGATCAATAAAGGTACCTGTAGCTGAACAAGTGTTGTGTATGTTGGATATTTGAGTGTTTCCTTGGTCGTGATATTCGACCGAGTAGAGGGGGTCTCATTAGTGTTGGGCAGGGAGTACCCCATATGTTACAAGTTATTAACAAAAGCGAAAATCGACGAAGAAAACCGATCATCGAGTTTACGCCCTTATACATGCTCACTGTCGTTATTATCGATTTCGTATGTTCAGCTGAATGGTTCAAAAACATTTTCATAATCTCATAGGCATTGTTCGGACCCTTAAAACTGCAATTTGGACACCGGTTTTGCGCCACACTTCCGTTTCGGACCCTGTTCCAAATTCCACTTATGACCGTGATTTTGTCGTGAAGGTTAACGAAGAAAACTCGCGATTCCGTGCAGAAAAGAAAACGATTTTATTACGTAAAAAAAGGAAAACTATATTCTGCGAAGAGCGACGACGGTGACCGACTGACTTGATGATTTATTTCGTACTGATAGGCAAACGTGATCAAAACAGACCTGCTACAATATGTGTGGATCGAAGAGAGGAGTACTGTAGTGTACTATCACCACTATCGCTAGGTTCCCCGTGTAGATATACGAGAGAGATAACCTACACCAGAGAATTTATGCTACACGGGGGGCGTTCAAAATGAAACTATCTAAGGATTTGTGTAATGTACCTAACAGGCATAGTTGGAGACGGGGGCATACTGTATCCCCTGTGTCCTCTCATATCAATGGAAGTAAAGTTACGTGTCGAGTTGTATAAAACATGTTGCAATCCTTGTAATTAGTGAGAGCACTCTACTATGCAAGTTTGACAGCTGTCAAGTGACTAGAATCAATAATATAAACCAAAATTCTTTAAAGCTACTGGGTTCAATCCCAGCCGAGGCAGTGGGAATATTCTGAGGCATACAAATATCTGGTCACGTCTTCCTTCGGAAGGGAAGTAAAGCCGTTGGTTCCGGCCCATGTGTGTTGGGTGCCATTTCCTAGGCAGGTGTGGAAGCTGCCTTCCTGTACATTCGTTTGCCGATTGAATGGCAATCGATGTCCGTCGGTGATTGGCACTAGATTTCGGAACAGAGACCGACGTTAAATAAAGGAATGAATAAGGAATGAAGAAGAAGAAGATGTAATATTATGCGTCATTACGATAAGCATTTAAGGAATAGAAAATGCTAGTCAGACTGAGTTGTACTATTGCAACGCATAAAGGGAATTTTTTAAAACCTGCCTCAATTGGGTTCTTTAATTTTGAAAAATATATCGGTTTTTATATATCACCTGAAAGAGTTTCATTTTCTGAGCACAGCGATATTTTTTTCGAACCCACACACTTTCATCTCGATTTTTAAATCAAGATTTAAAGCAAAATAATAACTTCACTGTTTGACACTAAACTGACAAACTGAAAGCTCGCTCCCATACAAAGTGACACCGAGGGGCGCTAATAAGTTGATTTTTGTAAATGTAATCGTATTTATTTAAAATAGTTCCAGTGTACCAAAATTCATGAAATTTTGGGATGGGGTTCCATTTTTAATGCAGACTACGAATATGCATTTACCTCAATACCCTTAAAGAACCCAAATTGAAAAAAAATGACATGACATGTTACATTTGCTGTAAAATGATTAATTTATTACTTCGGTTCCCCAACGGGAAATATGCCCCACTTTCAACGGGGCGATACGCCCCATTGTTTATCATCGAATCCAGGATTAACATAAATTCAAAACTGATAGACAATCCAAGTGGTATGAACTCTAGGGTAGGTCAACTTAACAACCTCCCCATAGCTGTTACGATTCGTATTGAGACCCCCAACAACTTGCCTAATTTGAACGAATTTGGTTACGATCTGGATTCGTGGGAGAGCTTTGAAATGTACCTGGAAAAATGTATGGGAAACGGATCAAATATGTTCAATTGCCGGACAAAATTTCAAATGCATTTTGTGAAAGAGCGCAAAGTTTTGTAACATTTAGCCTTATCGTTAGTTGCAACCCAATATTCTTACATCGCTTGACACCATGCCACACCGAATGTGATTATTGATAGCACGTTACATACCTAACAAAGAGTGAGCTGACAAAGATCGAAAGGGAAGGGATATTGTTGAAAGCATGCTTTCATGAAAGGATAATCCCACACAAGAGCCGGACGTCGTGAGTAAATGGGATACCTATACAATGCTTTCACCAACACGTAGGTAGAAGAAGCATTGTGCTGTCTAGAGTCCCTGGGACGTCTCAAGCCCAGGTGAAAAATTAGTTTGAAATTGATTCTGACAAGTTTATGCGTTGAGCTTAAAATGTTTAGGTTACGTTCTATTCGCATATGAAAATTAGTTTGTGTTGGCATGACGGAAAGTTGTGCATAGCATAATTTCATCTACTAAAACATACGTGTCTTTTTCATCAACACAGAATTAACATGAAATGACAAAAATATCAAATTTTACTAACCGCACACCTTTTTCTTTCTCGTTGCAGCTTGGCTATAAAAAATGCAGAAGACAACGGGCCTACGAAAAAAGACCCTGCTAGTTCCGATACGCTTTTCGACGGTGAACAGTAAGTAATATTAATTTTAAGACATCGATAACCATTTCTGATCCCGTTTGACAAATTCCCGAGGGAACGAATCGATCCATCACGTTCGTGTTTGGTCAATTTATTCGTAATAATTCAAATTCACTTTGATGATTTCTGCTAGCCGGTATATCGAATCAAACACTAAAAAGTTCTTTTGCCCCATTTTCTTCCCGTCAATTTCAGACCGAGTCTAGAGGAGATTCGCAGCTGGGGCAAAAGCTTCGACAAGCTGATGCGGAGTCCCAGTGGGCGAAAGGCATTCCGAGAGTTCCTTCGCTGCGAATATAGCGAGGAAAATATACTCTTCTGGCTGGCCTGTGAAGAGCTCAAAAAGGAAACTAACCCCGAGGCGATAGAGGAGAAAGCTAGGTTTATCTACGAAGATTATATATCGATTTTATCACCGAAAGAGGTAGGCTTGATTCCCTTAGGGAGAACTGAACCGGGCGACCCGAGATGGGAACGAACCGCGTCAGTCGTCTTTCGTACGCGCCACACACAGCAGTAGTGTCATGGGAGGGATTGCAAAGTGTGAAAATGGCGCATCCCATGTCTTGCTTGGATCCACTTAATTAAAAGTTGATTAAATTAAATGATTTTATCTTTCCTCTGCTTCTTTGCCACGGGTGGCGCCTGCTGACTTACCTGGAATCTATTTGCTGGTACTTCTGTGTTTGCTGATGGTGCTGATGATGCAACGGGGGATGATTCGAAAACTCACGCAACAGGTGTCGTTAGATTCTCGAGTACGAGAAATAGTTAATAGGAATATGGTGGAACCCACACCGCACACATTTGACGAAGCTCAACTACAAATTTATACACTAATGCATAGAGATTCGTACCCGAGGTGAGTGAATAAATATATGGTTAACTTGCAGACAAGGTATACAAAATTGCTGCTCATGTGCTATGGTGCTTGCTTTTTTTTCATGAACACGACACGAACGAGGTTAATTGGAGTTTCCCCCTCGGAAGACTTTTGTCCCTGCAGTTATTTTAACCCCTAAAATATTAAGTCAATGTTTTTTTTTATTCTGAGCCGCTGATGGATCTCATAAGTAGCTTTTTCGAGCTGTCAAATCAATCCAGTTTTTAACTCTCCTGATATGAAGAAATGAATGAAAGTATTGCGGTCAATCAAATCGGAGGATAACCGAGAACTTGATTTTAACCTTCAAATATTTGTTTATACATAAAGGCTAACTAAAAGTAAATTAGTACGCCCCTCGCACGCCGCTAACACGCCTCTAGTGTTGGAAATCGAACATATTTGACAGTGGTTTGTTTACACTTCTATAGAGCACAAATGGTGCCATTTTGATCAAAGTAGTCGATCGCGTTCTGAAATAACGTCAAATGGAATTCGAAAGAAGAAAAAATATTGTGCACAAACACCTGTAAAATCCGGAGTGGTCTGGTTCCAAGCTGGCTAAAGTGCTGAAGATGCTGAAAACAAAAGTTTGTCGAGTGCTCAAACCCTACAAGGAAACCCTGAGTGTGGAAAGGAATCAGCGGACCTACGAAAAATCTGGAACCAGGGATCATCAGCTGCGCAGCAAGGTGTTGAGGTGCGTTAAAGCTAACCCCGGTCTTTCGATGTGGCCAGAAGGTACAACGCCAACTTTCAAACGGTGCAGAACATTCTTGCCAGGGAAGGATACAAGTCGTACAAAGCCAGTAAACGTGGGTAGATCACCTTTTCGTGGTACGTTACGGGATGTAAGATCTACCACCGATTCCTAGTCCTGACTATTATTATTATTTAGCTTTATTTAGGAGGCTTTCAGCCTTAGGCTGGTTCGCCTCCAAGTTAGTCCTGACTACTTCAAACTAGGGGAATAGGATCTTTCAGTAATCCTAGGAACACATCTTAGTCCTTGTTACTTTTTATGCCTTGTTGCTAGTGACAAGGCTCGGCTTTGTCCACTGAGGATGATCTTGAAACAAGGAAAAAATGAGTTATTTAGTTTTTATCTACATATGTGATTCCTAATCTTCCATTTGTTGTTCCCTAGTTTGAAGTGGTTAAGACTAGGGTTCTGATGCATGGTCATTACCGGTGTTATTCCTTAATTTTGTTGCTAAGGAATCCAATTTTGACTGACAAAGGGGCAGGGTATAAGTAGTGGGACCTTTCAATTAGAGTCGGATCCTTGCGATAAATGCAAGATAGAATGACAACTGTTAAAAGAATCTAATACTTCATCATTTCTCAATAGTAATGGAGTAATACGACATGCACTAAGCTAAGGACACGGGATATACTACAATAGGTCAAATAACTGGTCGCAGTGGCGTTAGGTCCCGAACAGAGGAAAAAAAAAAGTGTAAATTTCTGTCACTACGATGCTCATAAATGGAGCGTCACACATCATATAAATTTACATTACAGATCTGCCGTGACCTGACCGAGGATTCAAGCCTCGGCCATGTGTCTTAACAAAGACCAGTTAGATGCACATCCGTGCGCTACAACATTCGTTATGACTCATTCAATCATGGCGATGCACTCAAGGCTCAATTCGTTCACGCATGCATATGTGTGGGTTTATTTACACTCAGAATAATTTTCACGTCAATGCTATGTGAAAACATACGTAGATTTTTTCCATCGTACTTTTCACATAAAAATGTGTTGGGAGTTACAAATTGACAAATGAACAACATCGACATGAATCCGATCGACGATGTTAATTGGTCAACTTGTCACTCCCAACATAGTTTACCCATTTTTGGGTAGGTTCAGTTTTGACAGATCTGTGTGGATTCCACCCAAATTTGGGTAGTTTTGAAATAGCGTGTAGCCACTCTGGTGGCAGAAACTTCATCCACAAACATTTGACTTGAAGCCAAAGTTTTTGGCTCTTTGGTTCGATTATCTTTTAATCTAAGACAGCTGATGCAGGCATTGAGCAATTAAGCTCCATTCATATAAATGTTCGATTTGTTGCGCTACAAGATAATAATGAGTTTATGTTCAACACATGCGTACATTTAGAAATCACATGTGTGTTGTACTATTTTTCTAAATTCTGCATGCTAATCATAAAAAATTCACATTTTATTAACAACAATTCATAAATAGTTGAAGACGCCAGAGATGAACTAGCCTTCTGCTAAAAATCTCTAAAGTAAATAATTAAAATAAAAAAAGTTTATTTTTTTTTTTGATTTATTTTCTATCGGTCTTGTTTTCCGTGCTGAACACCAATGCTACCGATGCCAGGGAGGCAGCTCCCACACCTGGACCCTACCTATCGACCCATCAACTCATGAACCGGGGACCAACGGCTTTACTTCCCTTCCGAAGGAAGGCGTGATCAGAGATGTTATGCCTCAGAACATCCCGGCGGTGCTGACTGGGATTGAACCCAGGCCTGCTGGGGTGAGAGGTAATCACGCTTACCACTACACTACCGGCGCCGCTGAAAAAAAAAGTTGAAGATGCTAATATCGAATAACAGCCAGATACCACCGACGAACCGACATGCCACAGGAGCATTTCGTTTGTCCACAATTCGAATTGCCAAACGAGCGATTCGAACATTCAAACGGGCGATCAGATCTGTCAAACGAGGAGAGACGCAAACCAAGACAATATATATTATACGTGGGTTCGTGTCCTTGCTCATGGTATGACGCGATCGGATGAGTAGATGTCGGTAGTGTTTAACATATTTTAAATATGGCGTCTTGGGTACGAATTTCAAAGTAGCTTGTATGAGCTTTCACGTCGGTTCGTCGGTGCTAATATCCCGTTCCCATTACAGCCTATATCACGTAATATAGGCTGTCTTGCAATGATCACTCATACGTAGGATTTCCAGTGAAAACTAGATGAGTGTTAATTGCAATATAGACTATATTACATGATATAGCCATAGTCTGTACGGGGTATAAAGCGGTAATTTTTATACGATAGATGAGGAGATGAAAGTATAGAATTGATAGTTCGTTTATACCCCGTTCACATTACAGCATATATCACGTGATATAAGCTGTCTTGAAATGAGCACTTATACATCTAGTTTTCACTGGAAATCCTATGTTTGAATGTTCATTGCAAGACAGCCTATATTACGTGATATAGGCTGTAATGTGAACGAGGTATCAGAGTACGGCAGTGTGAAAATTGCATATAGAGAGTAGAAAGCTAGCTAGGACAACTTTAGGAAGGTACAAATCGGTCTTATCATTTCTCTTTACCAAACGACAGGATGCCTTCCTTCAGATAACAGCTGGAGTGCGGTAAAAATCGGTAGAACTGTTTCAAACACATCGTCGGTGCTTGAGCGGTCGGTGATCATCTCTTTTTGCCAGTGCACACTGGGCCAGCAATGCAATCTAGCGGAGTAAAATTAATAACTCTGAAACGAAGCATTTTCGCGACTTGGTGTCTTCGGTAAAGTTTCTCATCATAATAAGGATCATCTATTGACATAAACAAATAGTTCAAAACTCTTCCGCAAAGATGGCACCACAATCTAACTTCTTTCTCTGACATTTTAGAGACTTGATGTCTTGGGAAAACACATATTCATGCATTTAAAAAAGTTATAGAAAAATATACATGCTCCACTAAAATGATAAAATCTTAAAAACACCAAAATATACTTCTCTCAAATTTTGATATTTTGTTTATCGAGTATGGCTTAATTTTTGCTGAAAATGTCAAGTTGCGATTTTTTGCGCTTTGGGAGATATTAAAGTTCGAAAATTGTTGTTTTTTTTTGGTTTTTCAACAATATCTTTAAAATTTTAAGCTTAAACCAGAATGTTTCTTCACAAAAGTTATTTATTTAATGCATTTGCGTAAGAGAAATATATAACATTATATGGTTGTCAGGACAAAAAACCGAAACAGATAGAAAAAACCGTATTTTTGACATATTTTTCTTTAACTCCATAGTTGTTTATTTTGTCAAGGCAAACAACTTTGTGCAAGACATCAAGTCTCCAAAATGTCAGAGAAGGAAGTTAGATTGTGGCGCCATATTTGCGGAAGAGTTTTGAACTATTTGTTTATATCAATAGATGGTCATTATTATGATGGTAAACCTTACGGAAGACACAAAGTCGCGGAAATGCTTCGTTTCGGAGTTATTAATTTTACTCCGCTAGATTGCATTTCTGGCCCAGTGTGCAGTGGTGGCCGGGGGGGGGGGGGGATACCCCTCACCATCCCTCTCCAAAGGGGGAGTTTGGAAAAAAGAGATGATAAAACCGATTTGTACCTTCCTATCGTCTTATATTCTCTATATACAGTTTTTACACTGCCGCCTGTCAATTCTATACTTTCTCCTCCTCATCTATCGTATAAAAATTACCACTTTAGTCTGTTATTTGAAATTAGCATCTTCAACTATATAAATCGTTGACTTCACGCAGAAGTAATACCTAACATATAGTCAAAGTAATTCATACATGATTTTTCATCGCAAACGTGTCGTTAAAGCACGTATAAACATAACATAAAAACTGTAGACTACAGTGCTGACGCCACCAATGGTGGTGGCTTCAGCAACCCTCCTTCATGGCAGAGGATTGGTTGAAGCAACCTCCATAAGCAGCATTCGCGACCTGCGAATTCCACCCGATGTTCCTGCTTTCAGATCAACGAAGCTCTTACATTCCGGGAGCTCCAATTTGCCCTCGGCAGCAGTAGTGGTAAATCTGCCGGCCCGGACGAAATTGGATACCCGATATTAAAAAACCTCTCCCTCGACGGAAAAACGAGGCTATTCGCCCTCTTCAACAATCTATGGCTCACTGACTCGTATCCGGACCTCTGGAAACAAAGCTTGGTTGTGCCCATTCCGAAAAACAACACGGCGAGTGAAGAAGCCTCCTCCTTTAGTCCGATTGCGCTCACTTGCTGCGCAGCAAAAGTGATGGAGAGAATGGTAAATCGTCGTCTTAAGCTGTTCCTGGAGTCAAATGGCATCCTTGATGAACGGCAGCATGCGTTCCGGCAAGGACACGGCTCCTCCGCTTACTTTGCAGCCCTCGGGAATGTACTTAAGGAAGCCCAGCACAACGGTCACCATGCGGAGTTAGTATCCCTTGATATTTCAAAGGCGTTCAACAGGACATGGACACCTGGTGTCATCAGGCAGCTCATCGGCTGAGGCCTGGAAGGTCACATCACACATTTTGTACGGAATTTCCTCCTTGATCGTACCTTCCAGGTGACCGTCGGGAACACTCGCTCGGATCCGTTCTCCGAAGAAACTGGAGTGCCCCAGGGGTCCTTCATAGCGGTAACACTATTCCTAGTGGCAATGAACGGGGTATTCAGCCGATTGCCCAAGAACGTACACGTATTCGTTTATGCCGACGACATACTCATCGTCGTAACGGGACGAACGACTAAGCGGACCAGGAACATAGCTCAAGCAGCAGTCTCCGCCGTCAGCAGGTGGGCGCTTTCGGTTGGTTTCCAGCTCTCCGCTCCGAAGGGTGTACGGTGCCATATCTGTCACTCAGGCCATCTGATTCGAGGACCACCGATCACCATCCAAGATCACCCGATTCCGCTCAAGAAAACAGTGCCACATCAACATAGTCAGGACAATCTCCCGCCCGCATCGCTCCAGCAACCGTGAGATCCGGCTTCGTGTCGCTCGGGCTGTTATCGACAGTCGACTTTTCTACGGTCTCGAAATAACCTGCTTAGCCACCGAGAAGCTCAACCACACCCTCGCTCCGGTATACAATACCTACGTACGCATCGTATCGGGCCTTCTCCCTTCCATGCCTGCAGACGCCGCATGTGTGGAAATCGGAATCCTCCCTTTCCGTTATCAATCTGCTGCAGCCATTGCTACGAAAGCCGCTGCCCTCGCTGCTAAGACATCCGGTAATGAAAGGGTCTTTCTCCTCAACGAGGGGAACAGAGCCCTCCGCACTGCAGCCAACCGTGACCTCCCCCCTGTGGCCAGGGTCCACTGGCATGGAGAGAAGAGTTGGCGATCAAACGTTGTCAAAATAGATAAGCGGATTAAGAGTGGATTCCAAGCCGGAGATAACTCTGTACCTTTGATACGTTCTGTTGGGACATCCTTTCCGCAAGGTCTGTTCAATCTGCAGCATCCCCGCCTCGGTGGAACACGTGCTGTGTGTCTACCCGGAGTTCCAGAAGCTACGCGAACAACATGGACTTCCGGAGAACGTCAATGATATGCTTGGTTACGACCCCTCGACGTTGGCTGCGCTGATGGCCTTTCTGAAAGAAGCCCACTTGTATGACCAAATCTAGCCTCCCGATGGTGGCTGCATTGATCGTGTGTTCCTCACGTTTCTATTTTTTTTTTTCTGCCGTCGGGGTTTCTCCGCCGGACCGGGAACTGTCTCCTACGGTGGAGTTCTACCTTGTTCGCGCACCCAGTCCTCACCACAGCCCCGATCTAATCCTCACCTTACATTAAGTTTTTTAAATGTTGTTTGTCTCATTCGTTGGGTAATCAGAGCCGGTTATACGTCACGTTCATGTCAAATTGATACTTATTTTTTAGGCAGGATCTAGCCTGACCATCTGCTGTATAACGTGATGAACTAGCCTACGGTTAAAAATCACGGTAATAAAAAAAAAAAAAACAACAACAAGGTAGGGGAGAATTTACATTTGCATTTTACATAGCTTTTTAAAACTATTTATGAATTTTGTCAAGGATATTTTTTACACGCTAACTCCAAAGTACCCATTAATGAGTAAAATGAGTAAAACCGACTTAACTCATTAATGAGTAGTCGATAAATACGCCAGAAAATGGGTTTGTTTACCTCAATCAGCACCTGCTGGAACGACTCTGTTTATTCGAATCGATTTTTTACTGATTTGCAGGTCGACACATACAAAATTCACGAATGTGTGAACTTCAACATAGCTGCCTTGACATTAATTGAATGCATATTTTTATCCATTTTAATTGCAGAGGATATTTTCAAAAAAGTGGAAAAAGTCTCCGCTTTTGGATTTTTAAAAATATCTATTTTTGATAGTTTTGAATAACTTCAAAAAATGAGTACAAGACACTCATTTCATGAGTACTTTCAGGTTAGCGTATAGGTAGTTAATAGTCTTAACTTTAAATATTGAACAATAAATACTAGAATTGGTTTTAGAATTGCCAAGTAAAATTACACAATGGGGCGTTCTGACCAGAAAATGCGTTCTGTGAAGTTCTCCCCTATGTTAAAATCACATTCATTTATTCTGCTCAACTTACTTTGCTGAATTTTCGGGTGCACTTACAGTTTAAGGGTTATGTAAGCCTCCATTCAATTTAGGCTCTTTTTCACGCAGCCGGGTTTGTCAATAATTATTTTAGGTTTATTACAGCCCTCTGAAAGCTCTCAAATGTCCAACTTGGGCACAGGTTCATGATCAAAAGTATAGTCTTTCAACGGTTTCTTTTCACCAATATTTAATAAAGTGAACCCAGTCTGGGAGAAAACCGATTATCACCAAAGCATCGATTCTCTTTGATTATGATCCAGTGAACCGTATCTAATTACGGGGACTGGAAATTTCTAGCGTACATCGTCGGCTGGTGTTGTTGTTTGGCACAAGGATTGACCTTGTAGCTGTTTACCCGCGAAATTCGATCGATGTTAATATTTTTTTTTTCATCTCTCCTGTATACGCTTACCTTAATCATTCGTTGCAGATTTATAAACTCACCACAATTCAAAACCCTGGCACAAATACCGGATGGTGTTTCCGCGTCTGGTTCAACGGCGGAGAGTCCTAGCAATTAGGAGGAAGATGGCAGATGGCCGGACGAGGGTGGGTGAAGGAACAGTGATCGCGTGCAACGGACAAACATGTAATTTATTTAAAATAAACGCTACAGAAAATTATCGACAAGGGAGAGAGTCGGAAGAAGCGGGGGACATCTGGATGGAAATAATCATATTAACAAGCATTAATCGAAGTTTTAAACAATAAAGAGCGACGGGACGGGACGCGATTGCGAAGGTAACAAGAGAAAAATGTGACCCAAATAGAACACTATGATTAGTTATTTAAAATAAAGAATGCAGATTAAAACATTAAAGAAAAACAACAAAAAGGCAAATAAAATTAAATTTTATATAAACATTATACAACTTGACGAAAATGGATCGAAATAGTGTTCCCTCCGGGAGGTTAAGAGCCGTTGGGAGGGAGAGTTACAGATATGATACACGTAATTCACTGATCATTTTAAGCGTTACTGTAAATTATAGATGGACGTTAATAAACAAAAATGAAGAAACAAATAATAAACAGAAATGAAATAACCCCAAGCAGAAAGCATGCTCTAAACGATGTAATCAATAGCCAAAAAAAGAGGAAACAAATTATATATACATGAATTACATGAAACATTATTCAACACAAAGGCAGGATTTCAGTTTTTAAACTAAGAAACAAACGACAATGAAGCATAGGGAAATCAGTTCTCCATCTATTTTTTCATTAGTTAGCTTCATATTTTGGTCATCTTTTTTCAAGTTACAAAATAGATTAAAATTCTAAGCTAACAAAAAGAAAACTTATCACACGAAGAAGGATACACATCAAACCAAAAATAGAGAACACTCTCAATCACACGCACCCACAGATTAAAAGAGTCATTATTTTTCTCACTTTTGATGAATCGAAAAACAAGGATGGAAAACGTGAACATTATCAAACGTGGAAGAACGTTACAATACTTTTACACTTTATGTGAAACGAGCAGCACAAAGTTAAATGTAAGACCTAATTAGATGAAATGGGAAAGGAAACATAGTTTATCTTTATCTATTGAAAATCTTTATCTTAAATACCTACAAACCAAACAAAAGAACATAGTGAAATGAATCAACAATTGCTTTAACGTTCTGTGTTCTGCTGAAACATTTAAGTATTACCCACATTTTTTAAACTCGTAAGCCTGAAAATGACTACTGTTAAAGCAACTGCTATTTATAAATCGTTGAAAATTTTATAGTTTTGATATGTACCGATCGTTTTATTCGTTTTCCGTTTACTCAAGTGTCTGTTAATTAGCTCAATTTCCGGAAAGAACTCAGAATGAGTTCTTTTTCTAGTTTTTGTTTTACGTTACATTTTTACGAAGGCCTATTCGATTTTATGATATAATGCATAAGGTTCATGCGCTCTATTGTTAGTTAAAAATCAAATGATGAGGTATTCTAGTCAAACATAAGGAAGAATCCAATGAACAAGTGTGTATTGTTTTAGGATAACCGATTAACTGACATCGTCCTTAAAACGGGAATAGAAAGCACACAAACCCAGCAAACGCCCACACAATCCAACTCTAGTCTCGTAGCCTGGCAGAGCGAGGGAAGATGTTGAAAATGTTTTCGAATCGTAGTCGAACGTATATTTTTTCTACCCCTCATGAGTAGCTAAGCAGGAGAAAATCCTACATCCTCTCACCCTCAATTGTTAAAACACGAAAGAATATAAGCAAAAAAAAAACTATTGTTGTCGTCTTTAGCGAAATAAAGTGTACATTCTAGACAAAAACCCCCGTTCAACAACAAAGAACAAAACCCATGCAAACAACATACGCATGAAGAACACGAACAAACATCATTCTATGGCCCAACTACTACTAGGATAGATTAGACGGAGAATCAAATTTCAGCGAGAATCCTTCTAATATAAGCATCTCTTACGCGCAGCGTACGGCGATCAGTGTCCCTGCAGTTCAGCTTTCGGTTTTAATTAAATGCCACTGTTCAATCGGAAATTTTGCCTAAATCGGTTGCAATCACTTCCTCATGACCCATATTTTACACCACAGTAGCAATAGTTAACATACAAAGTAGACACTATCACTTTTAATGCAGAAAAGAAAAATCGCAGACGACTGTTCGCCGGGTGCTGTGTCTGAACACGCAATAAAACAAAAAAAAGTTTAAAATAAGAACAAGAATAGTCCAACATATACAAATTTGTGTGTAAACATTTCTGTTTCCAATTATTTACACAGTTTCATCGCTTTTTGGTTCGAGTGAAATGTTCAAATAAAGAAAAAACGAGAAAAGAAAACAAATAACAAGAAGCAAACTTTTATAACACATTAATTAGGAGGTGAAGAACACGGTCTCGTAAGTAAATAAACAAGAACAAGAAACCTATATTCAAGCAAAACTTTTATACGAGATAAGGTTTTACAAATTGTAATTATAAACGGAAACTGAACAACGGCGACTTGGACCAGTCGCAATCAGAGTAAATCACACAACATGACCGTTTAGAAGAACAAACGAGCAACAACAAAAATCGTGTTTAATTGCATTTTTATCTATTTATTTCGTTTGAGTTTTACGTGTGATGGCCACCAGTTGTTTTCGTTATATTTTGTTCCAGTTTACAGCTGTGACCAGGATCGTGTAAGTGGTAGCAATGATAGTTTTTAGATCGTGTTACTTTGCATACAGTGTTCAGTTCTCTGTTTTAGTAAACATTCAATCGAACAACAACGTAGTGAAAGGATGCTAATTTTCTTACTTGCATACTTTTATATAGTATTTATTCAAAGATGAACCAGATAAAACTACATTAACAATTAGCTGAAGTAAGAAAGTAAATAATAAAAAAAGATAAAAAAAAATATCGCAAACTTGTTGTTTATACTTCGATTTCATATGAAAAAAAGGAAAGTAATGTAAAACCAAAAACAGTAAAATGAACACTTAAATATGCACCAACAGAGAAGGATTAAAGGAAAATTAAGACGAGCCTGTTTTAACGAGAAAGCAAAGAAAATTTAGTGAAAACAAACAACTTAATTAAAGGATTCTAATAAAGAAAGATAAAACAATGTTTAAACATACAGACCCCAAAAAAAAATGAAACAAAAAAGCATATTAGAAATGTACCGATTTTAATTGTAATAAAGCAAGGATGAAAACTATGACTTATAGCGAAAGAAAACCCAATCAATCGTTTTCAAGTTTAGTTGAAAAAATAAATTTAATGAAAAAAGAAAAAACAACAAAGAAACGCAAGTCAGAGAAAGGAAGCTTTCGAGAAAAAGAGTCGACCAAACAGATGAAAAAATACCAACTATAACAACAGTAACAACAACCAAAAACCACACCGACACACACACACTCTTATCATACTTGAGAAATAAAAATTAAACATCGTAACTCTATGAGCGGTTAAAGCTTTCTGTGTTTTTCATTTTTTTCCTCCGAAAACTCCTCCACCGAGTGCTGATTCGTCCCACGAGAAGAGTGAGAGACAAAGTTGGATAAGCTCTTCTTCGTCCAAACTGCTGGCTAGGTTGGTTTTGGTTTGATGACGAAATGATTCCTCGGTGGCCGTTGTAGGGAATTTCAATCGATTGAACGGGACCAAAAAAAAAAATATTCCGAATAGGTGACCGAGGAAGCAAAGTTCCATAATTTAGTCAAAATTGAGTTTTGATTGCAGTTTAATCCATTCCTCCCACTCCTGCCAAGGTAGACGGAAGACTGAGTTGCGGTCTGAAAGGGGGCGTTTTAATATGAAAGAGTGGGATGCATCTTTGCACCCATGCTGATGGAAATGTGCACGGAAAAACGAGTTTCAGCATTAATGGCTATTTTTAACCACTTTTAGAACTTGTTCGGACTGTCATAAAGTGGTGAAAATTTATAGCAGAAAAGTGCATAACATTTAAACGCTTTCCGAGAAAAACGTTTGAAACAGGAAGTGACTGATTTTTTCCTTATTAGAGATTTGAATAGATTTTTGTCCTTACTTATTCTTCTTCTTCTTCTGCTTCTTCTTCCTCGCATTCCAAGCTTATTGCGTATGGCATATTATAGCTTTAGCTTATTGCGTGATCTCAACTTCGTATTCTACATGCACCTTCACAGTTATTAATTGAGAGCTTTCGATGCCTGAAACATTTTTGCATTAGAATATGTGGTATTATTCGTGACGTTCGGAGACGATTTTACACGAACACGTTTTTATAATAGAGAGAAATTTTATTTTTCTGTACTGTGTGGAAGCACAAACGAAGTGACAGACGGAGCGGCTCGTAAACTTTGGTGACGCACCTGCTATTGCAATTTTTCAGTGTACCACATGGCAACAACACCACTACTATTGGCTTGTACCACATGGCAACACTACTAATGGATTGTACCACATGGCAACACTAAATGTACTAGAATGTTTTGGTTCTATCTCTTTCACTCTACTCTAAATTGAAATGCATAAAAAATGACAAAATGATACACTCTTTGCACACTGTCAAAGATCATATTGCACACAAAATCAACTATGTTCAAATCAAAACAAAAATACTAGCCCATCTGTTGGCTGATAGCACAAGCTTCTAAGAAAATTCTATTACAGCGAACCACATTATTTTAATTGATTTCTTCGCTAGTTAGTCGTCTGTCACTTCGTTTGTGGTGGAAGTCTGTTCGAGAATAGAGAACATGCCGCGACGGAAGTTAGCTCAAACCTCTGACGGGGAGCTTACCGAATATGCACGAACACAGACTTGTCAAAGTGACAGCTCATCATGCGGGAAAAAGAAAACTTGAAGGATAATCCTCTTCTAGGGGCAGGACAGGTTGCTACAGCACGTCCATTCTGACAATTTCAACCGCATCAACAAACATTCAACCGCGACAGTTCTCGATGAACATTTCAAATTGTCCTATCTGCTTTGATCGATTCTCTTCATCGACTTTCTCTTTCGTTAATAACTCAGCTGCAAAACCTTTCCCTGTTGTATTTCACCTTTTGGACGCAGTCTCATCCCAATTATCAAACTATGTGGTAGAATTAGCGCGAAATCTGTTTGCATAGCAGTGGTTATGAAAAGAGAAAGTCGATGAAGAGAATCGACCAAAGCAGATAGGACCATTTGAAATGTTCATCGAGAGTTCCTCGAAACGCTGGTGTTCTCTCTCTTGTGGTGTCTGTTTACATTTGTTGTTTACATTTCAATTGATCAATTTTCTCTTATTTAACCTGAGCTACGTACTCGATTCCAAACAAATCTTACTCGCAGTGTTTGGTACTTTTCACTTACTGAAACTCTTCATCTAAGTATTCGACATCTTCATAATCGATTTCTGAATCAGAAAAAAATCATTGAACTATCCATTGTTGCTCTTTTGATAAAGTCGCATGTTCATTGAATCAAAACCTTCAAAACGTCTGTTGGTTACTTGAAAACCATCTAAATCCGAAATAAAATACCGAATGCGATCAAAAACCTTTCTGATGACGTAAGGGCGTTTACTCAACTTTTTCGCAACCATTATTCAATTTGTCAGTCGCACTGAATAACAACAGCCAATAAACGCTAATGTTACTTTTATACACATGCTTATCAACTTTCAACTTGTAGCTGCAAAACAAAGCTATTAAAATGAATATATTACTTGATGGCTTCTATGCAAACAACCACTCTTACTGAATAACATAAACATCAAAAGAGCGTTTTCAACAACTAAACAACCTGTATTCAGCTAATAAACCGTGTTAGCGGTAATTTGGAAGCATTTTTACAGTCAGCTTGGTTTATTTTTTGACATGTGCAGTTTTACAGCTTTTACTTTGCTCCTTTACAATGCTGAAGTAACTAGTCGAGAAAAGTGATTCATATGCACTATTATAAAGCCTCTACTCAACGGTATTATTGTAGAAAGTCATGTATATTTGTTTTACGTCAGTTCAAAGTGTTGGCGTAGCGAAGTTGGCAGTGCCAAGGTTTGCCAATACGGTAATCTCGAGTTTGATTCCAGGTTCCGGTACAGAGTAAATCATTTGGAGGTGTGCTTATGACTAATTTCGATCAATTTCATTCACACAGCAAAATAAACTCAATCAATTCTTCCAACAAAAAAAGCGTAAATAATATTTAACCCGGCTTCATGAGAAAACTGTGTAGAGATTATTGGATATCCGAGAAAAAGTTGAATAAGCACCTTTCAAGTTTGCACACAACTAAACAGCAGGATAACAGTTGTATAGAAGCGTAAATATAAATGCAATAAGAGCTTGTTCCAACCGTCCCAACAGCCATAAGTAGCTGACTAATTTCGCCAGATTTGCATGTATAGAGGTTGCCTCATATCGTATAACGTTTGAATACAGCTTGAGGCTGTTTAAATGAAATGAGTAAAGCGTTTACATTGTAAAAAATGTTAGTTGGGTTATCGATTTGATGCGAAAAGTTCTTTGAATGAGCAGTTGGGTCTGGAAAAGTTGGCAGCTCTTCCTAATTCATTCATCAAGATGACTGATGGTACATTTGATATAGTCGAGAGTCACGCTTATCACTTCCAAATTCAAGCACAAATGTTCATAACTGGAGCCGACTTTGGGCTCTTCATGGTTTGGAGCAAGACCGAAAATTGTGTGATAAAAGTTGAAAGAAATCTAGATTAGTGGGAGAACTGTAAGCAGCGTAACCAGATGTACTTTTACAACATAATTGTTCCTGAGTTGCTGGGAAATTATCACACGGAGAAAGAAACCACTTTGTAAATTAATGTCAGAATAAACTAGTTTTTCTCAATTTCTTTTATTTTTCTTGTATGATGAAGAATGCAAATGCAATTGAACAAATTCACGGAACCTTATACAATAGAGTTATTAAAATTTACCAATATGCAACACACCCACACGGCTAGATCTACAGCATTGATGCTATTCTCGAAACGTCTCAAAGAATCTACCTTGACAAGCCCGTTCAGATACTCGTACTTCGACTTCAACACTCCAATCAGCCGTTCTACATGTACTCTTAACGTTATTATTTGCTTATCTCTCTCCATGTCCAAGGGATTCAACTGTGAGTCTTTTCGAAGGAATGTTGGGATATTCAGTATTGCACCTTTCGAAGACATCAAATCGCTTATATCGAAACCCTTATCGGCTATTATAACGTCGCCTGGCTCAAGTGTATTAATAAATCCAGAAGTTTCAGCGATATTTCGATCCGAGCATCGACCAGCGTATGCATTTGAAATGAAAGACACTCTTCCATCAGCAGACATTGCAATCAACCAATTAGTAGTTTCTCTCATTTTGTACGAGCTGTGGTGAGAAAGAGCAGCCTTAACATCCATAGGTTCTTCAGTAGTGACCTCAAAGCAATCGATAATGTGTACACGACTGTATCCGTACTGTTGCCGAAAAATTTGAGAAAGATGGCGAATGCTTTTATCTCTCGAAACAGACTCTAAGGCATATTTCAATGTATCGTAATCGTAATATTTCGATATTGTCGTAGTACAAACGGAATATTCTTCTACTAAATCTACCAACGTGTTGCAACGCAGTTTACGTAAAGTCATTATGAACATTTTATCCTTTGTTAGAGAACAGTGAGACTGAAACAAGCAATTATTGACATATTCAAAGATCGTTTTTAATGTTTTGAAGCTACTTATGCCAGTGAATCACTTACAGCGCTGGTCATCATCTATCCAAAGCAAACCATGCTGTTTATTCGAAAGTTCCTTTTCCAAAACGTCTACTCTCGTTTGCAGCCTCGCTAGTTCCTTCTGGTACGCCTTCATGATGTTATGATGTTCACCCCTATTCTGTATTTCGTTTCGAACGAAATTCTCATACAAAAAAATATTTGTTTGTATGAGAATTTCGTTCGAAACGAAATACAGAATAGGGGTGGTTATCTTGATATTTTTCTATCTCCTGCAGCCTGTTCAACTCTTCCAGGTTCAATATGGTGGTGTTTCTAGCACCTTGAGCACTGTGTCCAGCTATATTGAATGTCTCACGTCTGTGCGTGGCACTGCAAGCCTCTAAAACATATATTAAACTGTAAGAATATCGCATAAACATATTTAAAAAATAATAACACCTTGCTGAGAATGATCTGCATCATCTACGCCATCAGTTGAATCGGACGCAGAAGTTAATTCATCGGAATAGTTTTGAAACACAGTGCAGTTGCATGTTGGTTCAACTCTACAGTAGTTATTATCGGTTCTTTCCAGGCAACATGGAGCATCACTTCTTTGCTCAGAAAAGCTGGTTGAATTTCCGATGCTGGTACTGATGGGCACAACACCACCATTGACTTTGTCAACAGCTGCAAATACATACTAGATATATAACACACCAACATAGAGAATAAAATGTACATACACTCGAGAATGAATGAAGAATTATTTTCGTTCTGTTCGTTCCAGAAACCAGTAGTTTCATTCCGAGGAAGCGAGATTTGGGGCATTACTGTGCAGTTTAAATTTGTACCTTCGAAAAATCCTCCCACAAACGTTTCGAAATCAACCTGATCGACAATCAAACGAGTTGCTGTTTCATCAGCATTATCTGCACTTTCCTGACATTCTTGATCAAGGAGATCCGTAAGATCATCCAACACTACGGAATCGATTTTTGCAATATTTAATGTAGGTACCCAATCATCAACATTTATGTCGGAAATCCTGGCAGCTTTCCCTAGAAAAATATTTATTCTATACTTGCAGCATATTTTCAAATTATTCAACTTACCAGAAATGAAATGCTGGTTACAAACATATTTATCTTTTGGATTAAAACATTCTCGGAATCCGAGAATGTTCTTCCGTTCGCGGAACCTCCGCTGGGATATCTCCACCATACTGCTTCTCACGGACGGGAATCGGAAAAACCGAGCCCCTTCCGTTTTGTGGGTTGAATTACATTTTTGGATCAATGCACTTTTTAGTCATCTTTTCCGCGAAATACTACTTGAGACTATGAAACGGATCAACTTTTGTTCAAAACAGACTTGTAAATATTGCCCTAAGCGGATGTCATTTCCAATTGGAACAAAAAGTATGACGTCACGGTGGTTAAGTTCATTCGACAGTTTTTTCGATTGATGTACTTACTATCGCGTAGTTGCCACAGATCCAAAGCATCCATCGGAACGAAGAACTAACAAAGCCACAATCGATATGCCACGCATGTGTGTTCCAAGCTACTTCTTCGGCTACATGTACATTTGTTACTCACGCTCCTTCAATTTTACTTAAAAGTGAGTAACTCTTACTCAGTTTCGTATTTGTATGCTAAATGTCAAAAACTGAGTAACATCAATTTAGCAAAGTGAGTAACATTTACTCTAATTAAATAAAAATTAAATTTTCCTCACTTATGAGTCAGATCAAATGTCATAAACAACTGGAACCGTATTTCCAAGCTAGAATTTTCACGAACAATGTCCGTGGAATTTCTGCAATCAGCAGCTCAAAGCTAGCGTAGGCAACATTCTTCGTTCCTCCGAAACAGGTTTACTGAATCGGAGTTCCACATACTGTCGTAAGTAAATTTTAATTTTATTTTTCATACAGGTAAATTTCTATTTTTTTTCACGCATGTACGTACTTAACCTTATTTCAGGATCATCTGAATAAATTCTTGGTGCAAATAGTTCCGAGGGATTGAGCTTCATATTAACAGTAGGAAGGTATATTATATTGTAGGAAAAGTCGTGAAATAGTATTATTCAAATATTCAGTTTCTTCAGTTTCAGACAGTAAAAATCCCAGAAATATCCAGGAGTAGCTCTGCTCCCAGAGAGTATTGGTTTATCTGATAGCATAAAAGGATAGCGTTCAAATGATCAACATCGGTAACCGAAAGTTGACGGAAGATTCTGATAACTAAAAGAAGCATTAACAGTAACGAAACTGATGCTGCCCAGTAAACTATCACAGATAGTCAAACTTCGATGTGAAAAATTTAATAATGTATTGTGTTAATTTCGTTAATCTGTAGGTTTTAAATGTTGTTAAAAAAAAAAGTTCATGTTTTCGATGAAAATATCTTCTTCCTATCAGCATAAAATGATATTCTGAAAGAGTAAATACATACGAAATTGAGTAGCATTTACTCAGTTCCGCTTATTTTCCAAACACCAGAACTGAGTAAATGCAACTCAGATTTTGAAAGATTCATTCATTACTCAAAAGTGAGTAAACATAAGATTACTCACTTTTAGGGTAGTTCCACTTTTAACGAAAATGAGTCGAATGTTACTCACTTTTGAGTACAATTGAACGAGCGTGCTGACAACCACGCCGTGCTTAGAAAAATGTAACCAGGGTTCCCATTTTTATAGCCATACCTTATATGTTGTATTTTTTTTAGAAATAAAGTTTATTAAAATTTTGGTTTATATTTTATAAGGGCTTATGTTTTCACTTTAGCTTAAATCTTTAATCAGGTTCACCCATAAGGATAAACCATGTTTAGAGCTTAAGTATAGGTGAAGAAGTTGGCCCTAAATAATATTGGAATAATGGAAAAAAAAAAGTTTAAAATCATGCATGTTTATATTCGAAACAATCTTCTGATCCCAGTATTAAATTTTATTATTTTTTAATACTGATAGGGGAAAAGTTGGCTTCGGCAATACCTTAGCCTATTATCGTCAGGGGGGTAAACAAAATCCTAGAGCACTCAAATTTGGCCAATAGTTGCTCTGAAACACAATGTATCCACATACCAAAATTGAGCTCTCAAGGACGTTGTTTACCCTCCTGACGATAATAGGTTAAGGTATTGCCGTAGAGAGCTTAACTTTTAATCATTCGATATGATTAACCTGAGTTTAATGTCAAATTGATTAAATTTCAAGCAAAATGGGAATGGTTTAATTAATCAGTGTATTCATTAATGATTAAACTTAACCAGTTTCAAGGAAAACTTTTTATTCATTGGATGAGTAAACAGCGTTTATTCATTTTATGAATATTTGCGGGTTTTCTCGAAACTTGTTAAACTTTAAACATTAATGTAAACTTTTTTCTTAGCGTGTATCACCACTTTTTAAACAAAATCGATTAAATTTAATTAATCAATGGCTAGTTTTCAACAGCCGTGAATTTATGACTAGCTCTGCCATCTAGCGGCTACTAGAATAATATTGATCTTGGTTCCTTATAGAAGACGAAGATGGCGCTTCTTGCCATTTCGGTTACACGACCGATTAACTACTCAAATTTGAGTTTCGTTTACCCAAATTCGAAAAAAAAATCTCGGCCGATGCGATCATTCAAAATTTTGTTGAATTAAACTCAAATTTACAAAAACGTAGAGTTAGTAAAATTTTCCTTGCTTTATCTCATAAATCTGGTCGAATATGAGGAAAATCCACTAAAATAATACTCAGTCAATAGGGTTTTAAATAGCGGCGCCGGTGGTGTAGTGGTAAGCGTGATTACCTCTCACCCCAGCAGGCCTGGGTTCAATCCCAGTCGGTGCCGCCGGGATGTTCTGAGGCATAACATCTCTGATCACGCCTTCCTTCGGAAAGGAAGTAAAGCCGTTGGTCCCCGGTTCATGAGTTGATGAGTCGATGAGATGAGATGATGAGTCCAGGTGTGGGAGCTGCATTCCTGGCGTCGGTAGCATTGGTGCTCAGCACGGAAAACAAGATCGACGAAAAAAACCAAAGGAAAATAGGGTTTCAAATGTGCGATTCGCGATGTAACGATAGCATTTGTGAGGATTAAACCGATTACCTGAACGATGCCCTGTCATAATTGTTTGTTCATATTGTTGCATTCAATATCATAACAAAAAAAAGCGTAGAGTAGCTACTTCGTCGTAATCACCCATTTTCGTTCTAGCGATATGAAAAAATCAACATTATCTATACACGGCGAATGAGAACGTTCCAACTTTGAGTTTAGTTCACTCATAATCGCCTAATTTTGCAGGAACTCAGCGATGAGTAAATTTGTCGCATGGTTTCCTGTGGAAAACCTAAAAAATCTGCCGGAAAATGAGGAAATTGACGAACATTTTATTCAGCCTCGGAGTAGTACCAATAGACTGAGTGAATCCAATCTTTACTTTTCTCAAATTCGGGAATTTTTCCCTGGAAAATCCTGGGAAAACATGAGGCAAATTTATTATTATTATTTATCTTTATTAGGGTGGCTTTCAGCCTTGGGCTGGTTCGCCTCCAATCGAGGCAAATTTACTCATCGCTGAGTTCCTGCACTTTATGTGATTTATGAGTTGACTAAACTGAAATTTGGGTTGTTCTTATTCGCCGTGTATGGTTTCACCATGCACAAATCAATACAGTAAAAATCAGATTTTATAAGCCCTCTATTTAAAAATATTGTCTAATGTTCTTTGAAACCCATGTGCTTTTCAGTGGTCATATTGCACCAAAGTATACCGTAAACATATATCTTGAAGATGAGGAATTATGGTTACTTACTACGATAATTACAATTATTGAAAGTTTAAAGTCTGATACGCAGAGGGGCTGACAAAATCTGGCCATTGATCTAATACTTTTGTTCTGATACGTTGGTTAGAAAGCTTCAACACAAAGTGTATACGGAGAACCAAAACTACCCAACGGTTGAGTTATTTAAACTTGCTTTTGAGTTGATGCCTCTTATTTGCCCTCTTGTTGTTGTCAAAAATGGAAAGAGCAAAACAACACAAAATTGAGCTCTATTCACCCAACTCGACTGTTCCGTGCGCCAAGTTAAAATTTAGTACGTTGAGTAAAACTCAATTTTGAGTAGTTTGAACTTGACGTAGAGTGAAAACAACTTAAAAGTAATTGGCAAATCAAAGTTGGCACTCGTGGAGAATAGATGAACTATGAAAGTGATGATGGTTTCAAAATTTTACACGGTGAGGTATACGGGTTCAATCTTAAAATGCCTTTATTTTGCAAATGGAGCATTTTATTTAATTCTGGTTAATGCTACGCTAGTAGAAAACTTAAGGACTACTTAATAGACACATAATATAGAAAAATAATTTCTTTTCAGATTTTTAGGTGTAGACATAGATTTCAGCTTTTCTACAACTGTAGCAGCAACCAGAATTAAATAAAATGCTCAATTTGCAAAATAAAAGCATTTTAAGATTGCATTTGTATGCCTCCCCGTGGAAAATTTTGAAACCATCATCACTTTCATAGTTCTTCTATTCTCCACGAGTGTCAACTTTGATTTGCCAATTGGCAAATCAAAGTTGGCACTCGTGGAGAATAGAAGAACTATGAAAGTGATGATGGTTTCAAAATTTTGCACGGGGAAGTATACGAGTGCAATCTTAAAATGCTTTTATTTTGAAACTGGAGCATTTTATTTAAATCTGGTTACTGCTACAGTGGTAGAAAAGCGGAAGTCTATGTTTACACCTAAAAATCTGAAAAGAAATTAAGTTTTCTGTATTATATGTCTATTGAGTAGTCCTGAAGTTTTCTACTAACGTAGCACTTACCAGATTTAAATAAAATGCTCCATTCACAAAATAAAAGCATTTTAAGATTGCACTCGTATACCTGTCCGTGGAAAATTTTGAAACCATCATCACTTTCATAGTTCGTCTATTCTCCACGAGTGGCAACTTTGATTTGCCAATAGCGAATTCGTTTATTATTCAGTTCCAACCTGGATCGGGTATCAAGATTGGGTCTGCTTGTTTTATGACAAACGTCAGTTTGCTCGTCTGTTTTCAAAACCTAGCTCAGGTTGAGGTTCGCACTGACAAAAAGTACGGTTTCGCACCCGATAATAAACGAATCAAAAAAATTAGCAACCAGATTTAAATAAAATGCTCGATGAACATTTCATATGGTCCTATCTGCTTTGATCGATTCTCTTCACCGACTTTCTCTTTTCATAACCACTGCTATGCAAACAGATTTCGCGCTAATTCTACCACATAGTTTGATAAAGGAGGTTCTTATATAGCGTCCAAAACGTCAAATACAACAGGGAAAGGTTTTGCAGCTGAGTTATTGACGAAAGAGAAAGTCGATGAAGAGAATCGATCAAAGCAGATAGGACCATTTGAAATGTTCATCGAGAATGTTCCATTTGCAAAATAAAAGCATTTTAAGATTGCATTCGTATACTTCCCCGTGGAAAATTTTGAAACCATCATCACTGTTATAGTTCTTCTATTCTCCACGAGTGCCAACTTTGATTTGCCAATAAGTAATCCTGTTTACATGCGAGTAGGCGCACTTTTAATCCCTTTTGAACAAACGTCGTTCTCGCGCAGAGTTTGTTTTTTTTTATACATTTCAGCCGGTGTTATACAATAATTTCACCGTTTCTTAGAGTGCTCTTTGTTTGTTCCGACACGGCAGGCATTTTTTTAAGTCCCGGATTTGGCTTTGACCGAAGATAACATATCAAGAAGACTGGCAACTTTGCCTGAATCCAAGTGGCAGACACAGTAGTGCTGCAAAGCAACTTTGTTGAAGATACAACGTTTTTATCTCTTATGATTGATGAGTTATGATTTTTTAAACAAGCAGGTTAGGGTTGCCACTAAAATCGGTTTTCTATGAATATCTTTTCATGCGTTAATTTCTCGTAAAAACATTGTTGTGATTACATTTAAAACTTTTGATGGCACATATTTTTGAACAAGCAACAAGGTTACTATATTTTTTGATAAGAAAGTAAAAGGCCATTTTCTTCGAAAAAATGGCTCTTTTCAATTGTCAATATCTCAAAATGGAGCAAACCGATTTTCAAACATTTAATTTTATTGAAAACAACGTTT